TGAATACAAGTAATAATTTCAAAGTGGCTCTCTTTTAATTCCAAACAAGTGAAGCACTATTTATACATGATTTCAACAATTAATCCACTTAAATTCGTGTAAAAATCATAATGGTCACTTATGGATGAATAAAAGCAGTTTTAGAAGTCCAGAAGTCGAGAAACCGATATGAAATGCCACATATTGCAACTGAAACTGGGTATAACACAATGTGGGTCGTGTTGAGGAAAATGACGGTATCACGCAACACAACCAACACATGTTCTTCTCAATTGTTTACTACCGGGGGGGGGGGGGGGGGGGGGGGGTCAAAGGCTAACACAACCCATTTTAGCTAACACGGCTAGACCGTGTTACCCACGAGTCTTTTGTACTGAAATGACTTGCGAATGCGCGATTTTTCGTCTTTTTCGCTTCAATCTTGCTCGACAATTTCGTATTAAATGAAATCGACAAAAACACACAAAAGAGAAACAAAATGATAAAAACGCACAATAAAGTAAGCTAAAAAACACATTGCAATAATCACTTATCACCCACCCTTGGTCGGCGATGGTTTCTAGCGACTTTGAAGATTTGCACTAACTCTTTTATCTTCTCCAGTACCCATGTGAAATTGACTTCCATCTCATGTTCCAAGTAAGCAAACTCAATTTAAAATGTAAACTTAATTGACATAACACTAATAATCTTAAGTAGTGGTAGTCAGTATTTATGGTTTTATACGTGGAGTTAAAGATCAAAACCATTTGAAATATATTTAGAAGCTTCATTTAATCGGGATGTCCAAAAATATCACTTACAACACTTGAGTCTTCTGTATTTCTTGTCTAACACAAATATCTTTCTTGATGAATTAAACTCATCAAGTGTTGCATTTTCATGTATGGACCTCTCATAGTATACCAATATATATACACTTACCTAACTATTGTCACATTTTTTAGGATTTCAATCTTTCAATGCACCCATTATGAATCTCGCTCCATGTGATAGGTACTTTGTCATATCACACACAAAATATCTTTCATTGATTTTTAAACAGATGAGTATATCATAACCGTCTAAATCATCAACTAAATCATGGTGTTGAAAATCACATATACCATTTATTTATAACCATAACCACTTTGCACACATCTAAATTGAAAAAAGCAATCAACCATTTTTCTATAAAAGTAATTTTTCTTTATTCTTGTCATTTCTTCCTCTATCATAACCAAAAATTAGTTTTAGTTTGTTGGCTTACATCTTACATAATTTATTGTATCAAAGTGAATGATAACTACCACAATACTATGTTGTCGGCCAATATTTTGTTTCCACGATAATACTTAATACTTTTAGTCGAGATAAACATATCTACCGATTATAACGTAAAATAAATTATTAAAGAACTACAAATTTTTTTAAAAAAAATCAAATGATCAGAGATAAAATATTAATAAAACACACCTTTATAATAGTGAAAAACAAAATTTTAAAACCTGAATCGGTCATCGACCCAATCAAATTATTAAGCCACTGAGTTAGTGGTCAGACCAATGAATCACTGGTCGGACCACATATCTTTTAATTCAGTTTATATAAAATAAAATATATATATTCATGAAATAAAATTTTTGACATAAATTTCATAAATGTAAAATATATGAAAACAATCTATGAATTTATTCATAAAAATAAGTTGAATAACAGTTTTAAATAAAATTTCAATTTTCAAAAATAATAATATATTGATACTTATAAATTAACAAAAGTAAGAGAAAGTAATTGCATGATATAATATTACTATAAACTAATATAGAACATAAACAAATACTATGCTCTATATAAAAATTTATAAATAAAAGATAGAGTAGAAAATAAAAATTTATAAAAAAAAAGTTAAAAAAAATAATGTAACTTTTACTTAAAAATAATAATGAGATTTATAAATAAAAAATTTAATAAAAAATAATATGATTTTCACTTAAAAATGATAATGAGATTTGTATTGAAAATAATATGAAAATATAATTCCATTTTTTATATAGCATAACTTTATTTTTCTTCTCCAAGTAATAGGATTTATATTAAAAATAATGTGAAAATATTATTATTATTTTTTTAAATTTTTTTGTTAATTTATAAATATGATGTTATCTTTCTGATCTGATCTGATTAGAAGAAGATTATTAGCTGACCACACTCTGTTGGGCTGCTACCTGTTCACCGGTGATGAAGATGAGGAAGGGGTGTACCTACAAGACACTCCGATGCCAAGTAAAGGATGAGACAGAGTGACAGCAAATACAGAAAAGGGGTAAGAAGTGAATTACCTAACCCTCTCGTGAGAGAGGGTATTTATAGAGAGACCCCAGTGTTGGGCCAACGGTCACTTGCGTTGAGCTGGATCGCCAGGCCCAACCCAGGTGACTGCCAGGGCTTACGTGGTGTAGTGAAGACCAGGACGTGGTCTTTGCCCTAGTTCAACTGTCTCGTGATCTCCGAAAAGTGGGTTTGACCTGCTCTTTCGGAGGCGGGCAGTTGGTCGGTGACTTGTCCCCGCGGAGGGGAGCACGTAGAGAACGTGTGGAAGACACGTCGTTCTGCCCGACAGGGGAGCGGGTCCTGCCCGCAGAGAGGGCAACGTTTGGTTGATGAGGGAGTCTCGCGCCCAGCGTAGCTGAGGCAGGAAATGTCCGCGAAGGGCATTTCCTGCTCGTCGGGGACCCTGTGCCCGACACGCGGCCCAAGATGGACTGAGCTTGGCAGAATACTATTGGATTGGGCCGACGTGGCCAAGCCGGGGCCCAGACCAGAACACTTTCTTTTGAAACATTATTATAAATAAGTTACAATATCAAAAAATTTTAAATCTTTTTATAATAAAATAAAATTTAAATTTTCTTATATAATAAAATAAAATTTTAAAATAGGGCATTTATATTTAAGAAAAATAAAAATATTGGTTCAAAATTTTAATTAAGTTAAAAAACAAATATAAAAAAAAATCAACCTGTTGGATTAAAAAATTCATCAATTTCATTGATTTGATAAATGAATCGATCGAGTCATATTGACTTTTATCGAATCAATTACAACTATGATTTGATGATCTTACTAAATTAATCTACTTTTTAATTTACGATCTAATTGATTCGACTAGACAAAAAGATCCAAATTTTAAAACAAAGGTGAAAAATATTGTAAAATCATCCCGTACTCTATCTATCAGATTTTTTCACCCAAATAACCAAGCTTCTACACTATAATTTCCAATCTACCCAACTTTCCAATATATTATCCAATCTACCCTAGTTTTATATTTTTTTTATTTTTTTTTACAAGGGGCGCCATGGGGGTTGGAGCCTCCCTTATAATTTGTATGGGGGCGCCATGGGGGTTGGAGCCACCCTACAAATTATAAAGGGGGCGCCATACCCATTGGAGCCTCCCTTATTTTTTGATTGAATGTATACATATAGATAAAATCCCACGAATTAAATATTATTAAAACTATAAGGGGGGCACCGTGGGGGATGGAGCCCCTTCTTTAAATTATAAGGGGGCGCCGTGGGGGATGGAGTCCCTTCTTTAAAAAATAAGAGAGGCTCCAATGGGTATGACACCCTCTTTATAATTTGTATGGTGGCTCCAACCCCCATGGCGCCCCATACAAATTATAAGGGAGACTCCAACCCCCATGGCGCCCCCATACAAATTATAAGGGAGACTCCAACCCCCATGGCGCCCCCTTGTAAAAAAAAAATAAAAAAAATACAAAACTAGGATAGATTGGATAATATATTGAAAAGTTGGGTAGATTGAAAATTATAGTGTAGAAACTTGGTTATTTGGGTGAAAAAATCCTATCTATCACATCTTCATCCATTTAAGACAATTAAAAAAAATAGTAATAATTAGCCTGTGAGAATAATTTAATTCACAAAATTTTATATAGGTCTGGTGTCCATGTAAAGAGACACTAATTTTTCTCCATAAAAAAAAAAGACACGCTAATTTTTCTACTACCAACGGTTTCGCCCAGGAATGTTATAAATTCTACCCCATATTTTCTAAAACTAGAATTTTTATTTTTTATGTTTCTTATTAAATTCAAGAAGAGTAATCTTTTGAAAAAAAAAACATATAAATGGGAGGTAAATTATAAAAGTCATAATTGCCATTTAAAACATATAAAGTGACATGTGTAACTTTGGGGGTAGCTGTGAAACTCCTCTACCTTTGCAATGATCCAATGGGCCTATAACCCGCTTAAATCAAACGAAATCTGAAAAAAAAAATATTCGGAGAAGGTACCCTCAGAACTCACGTCGCTCTAGATCGCCGGCCGCCGCCTCCTCTTGCTTCTCATCTCACCCCTATTTCCCATCTCATTCGCCTCTTCCATATCTCCCTACTACTCAGACTCTCCGTGCTTCTCTTCTGTAAGTTTTCTTTTCATTCTGTTTACTTTTTCTGTTCATCGGACTGATTTCATTTCCACTTGCTTGCACACAGATTTTGATTGATTTGCTCTAGTTTTCCTTGCAAATTACAACCTAATTATGATTCATTTTGTTCTGCTTAAGTCTGATTTGCTTTCAGTTGGCTTGCATCTACTTGTTTGCTTACAACCTAAAGTTATGCGTGTCTTGTTCATTTCAAATTCTTATATGTATTGTTTTGAATTATAATTGTTTTCTATATTATCAGTACATAATTTGCCGTCTTTCCTTTTGTGTTTTTGTGCATTTTTGTAACTAGTGGAAGTTGTATAAGATGAGTGAGTGATAGTTTTCGTATAATATCGGTTAATTCTCGTTGATGCTAATGGAATTGTGCTGTAGTGGGCAGTAGCATACCGACCAGAATGCAGTGTTATTTTGATTTCGGTTCATCTTGTTACTTTTAGCCGTCTGTTGTTAAGGGAGGTTTTTTGTTTCTTTTATAAAATATTTTTATGAAAAATATGTTTATTTTACTTTCAGATTATCTTTCAGAAAGCATTTGAAATGGTTGATAGCAATGCTTCCTCTGGGTCGCCTGAAGAGACCCAGAATCCCATTCCGGATGGGAATGCGCCTTCTGAAAGTGATCTTGTATTGGATAATCTAGCACAAAAAGTTCAAGAGTCTTTATCGCTTGACCAAAGACATAAATTTTGGGAAACACAACCTGTTGGGCAGTTTAAGGATATAGGAAACCCTGCTTTGCCAGAAGGTCCTATTGAACCTCCAACCGCCTTATCTGAGGTCAAACAGGAACCATACAACCTTCCTAGCCTTTATGAATGGGTTACTTGCGACATTCATGACGAGCAGATGTGTGACGAGATATATACTCTTCTTGCTAATAATTATGTTGAGGATGATGAGAACATGTTTAGGTTTAACTATTCGAAGGAGTTTCTGCGCTGGGCTCTGCAACCTCCTGGATACTTTACGAGTTGGCATATTGGTGTCCGTGTTAAAACTTCCAAGAAGATGGTTGCCTTTATAACAGGTGTCCCTGCTCGAATCCGAGTTCGTGATGAGGTTGTTAATATGGCAGAAATTAATTTTCTGTGTGTTCACAAGAAGCTTCGAACCAAGAGGCTTGCTCCTGTCATGATCAAAGAGGTGACCAGGAGGGTGCACTTGGAGAATATATGGCAGGCAGCATACACTGCAGGGGTTATTCTTCCTACACCGGTGGCAACTTGCCAATACTGGCACAGGTCTTTGAATCCCAAGAAGCTAATTGATGTTGGTTTCTCTCGGCTTGGTGCACGGATGACAATGAGTAGAACTATTAAGCTTTACAAGCTACCAGAATCAACAGTCACACCAGGGTTTCGTAAGATGGAAATCCACGATGTTCCTGCAGTTACAAGGCTAATTAGGAATTATTTGAGCCAATTTATTGTTGCACCTGATTTCGACGAAAATGATGTGGAGCATTGGCTTCTTCCAAGGGAGAATGTTGTCGATAGTTATCTGGTTGAAAGTCCTGAAACTCACGAAGTTACTGACTTTTGTAGTTTTTACACACTCCCCTCTTCTATCCTTGGCAACGCAAATTATTCAAATTTGAAAGCAGCATATTCATTCTACAACGTTTCAACTGCGACCCCTTTGCTTCAGCTGATGAATGACGCCCTCATTGTAGCAAAACAGAAGGATTTTGATGTTTTCAATGCGTTGGATGTCATGCAAAACGAAATCTTCTTGAAGGAGTTGAAGTTTGGACCGGGTGATGGTAAACTTCATTATTATCTTTACAACTATCGAGTAAGGCAAGCGTTGAAGTCATCAGAGCTTGGGCTTGTGCTTCTATAGTCCAAATTTTTGGAAATTTATGCTATGGATGAATTAGAAAGGATAATGATTTTGCTGATAAACTTTGTATTGTTGCATATTTCTGTGGTGTATCCATTGTTAGACCTTGAATTTTGCTTCAATTTTTTTAACAAACAAACTTGAAGTTCTTTTCAGAGACCATTCTGAAGGGTGAGTGATTCATAAGTGGTTGAACTAGGATTTTCCATTCATGCTTTGCTATATTTGTTCATGCCGATAATGGCAATTGTCTTTAAGCGTTTTTCCTTTTTCTTGGTCGAGAAGTGTTTGTCTTCTAGCATTCTTTGCAAAATTTATAGATCTCTCTTATTTGGTGAAAATATATATTTTAAAATTTTCTAAAATACGTTCATTTAACTTTTCTTTATTGTGGAATTGAAGACAATGCTGATTCCACTTTAGGTCCAATATTCATACAATTTGGCAGAGTCCTTTACTGTTACTATAGAGCTTTTAAAGAAAAGATTCGACCATACGCAACTTTCTCATCAACTTTAAGATATAAAAATGCCAAAGGAATCTGATGAATATATCATACAAACAAGATGTTAAAATAGCATTTTAGTGGACATCAATTTTTTTCATATCAAAAACCAAAAAAAAAAAAACAAATCTATTCATCAAAACGAGTTTGATTTTCTTGAAACATTGGCACCTGTTGTAAGATCACAAACGGTTAGTGATTCTTACTGTTCCGCTACAAATCGTTGGCGAGATGAAGTTGCAATATACAAATTAAAACACTTTGCCACCCTACAAATATCCAAATTGATTGATTACCACTATTGCGTGGTGTTTTTTAGTATTCAAATACACTGAATGTTCCAGAGATAATTTCCATATACACTTCCACATATATTGTTCAAACTCAATATAATTTCATGTCTCCATGACTAAAGCTTGGCCATACCCGAGATCATATCGTCCAGATATGACCCAATTATAATACATTAAAAACTGCAACACGACCATGATTTAAAACCTTAGAAGTATATACCATTCAATTATAAACAGCATAAAAGTCATACTCTCGCAAACCATCTTTTTTGGCGATACATGTACATAAAACTAATAAAACACTACATCCTAGGAATACATATAAACCAGGTTTTTGACTAAAGCAATCTCCAAATTTCACGGCCAAATTCAAGCTTCGGAAACTGAGTAACACAACCCCGAGCTTTTAAATTGTTCATCAATCATGTGAACTGTCGCCTGATGTACGTGTCTTCGTGCACGAACACCGGGTTTTGACTGGTTTGAGTTGGAATCTGTGGTTGTCCCATGGCTATGTTCCCTTGATTAGGGTTTGAGGAATTACCAAAAGCATTGCTAGCATTCTTTCCCTCCATTATGGTAATGTAATAGATAATCCCAAATGCAACACTTGCAAGAGATAACATTGCGCCACCAGCAAACACTCCAGGTTTGACAACATAACAGTAGTAGGTTCCAAAGTATAGACTCTCTTCGCCACGTTGATCGTTCAGTGCAGCACCGGTTAGCAACAGGAGAAACGCAATTAAATATGTGAACCTGTTTGAACAGAGATTACAATCACAATCTTAGTCTGACTCTAATGTCATACACAACACCACACTCGGGTTTTCAAATCCTACACATAATTTCTTTTACACAGCAGAACATTACAGATAAAATCATAAACATGAAAAAATATAAGCTATAATGCAAAAGAAATAGTAGAACAAAGACAGTTACCAGGATAAAACAAAGCAGGCCAGTGCCACCGTCCAACTGGCATCAGGGATTCGCAAATTTCTTCTGCAACAAATGCATCCAGTTGAAAGATTTACGAGAATTTGAGAAATCATAAGAGACAGCGCCGCAGTTAAACCAAGCGGTAGAGCTGGACTTCGAGGATACATGCACTGATTTGGCGAGATAAACTGAATTTGATAACCCTGAAGAAGTTACACAGTATTAGCAGTAGCTACCATAACAGTTCCCATTCATGGCAAACTTTGGCACATCATAAGTTAAAATGTTAAAAGCTCAAAATAAACTAAGGGCTTGTTTGGATAAACAGCTTATTTGAAGTTCGTAGCACAAGTGCTTATTAAAATAAACACTAATGGAAAAGCTAGTATAAGCTATTTTTCTAACAACTTATTACTATAGATTGATAAAAAAAACCTTACATCTAACTCCATGTTCTGGTGTAAAACCCTATCTATGCCAAAATTGGGAAAAAGAAAAGGACATTCAAGAAATTACATAAAATCAAAGACAAGATTCAACAAGTGAAATAAAAAACTTAATGAACAACACAAGCAATGTACTAAACACTATAGGTAAATTAAAATCTTCAAGAAAACAGTGAAATCAACCACAAGAAAAAGTGGTGGATCAATGCAAGAGATTAAAAGTGAATTTTTCGAGTAAACGAAAGTAAGAAGAAAAAAAGAAAAACCCTGATCCTTGTTGCTTCAGCAGCAAAGGCAGTTGCAGCTGATAAGAGCCCTAAGAAGCCCACAACGCAGCACACAGCCACAACTTTTTTCTCCATTTTCTCTTCTCTCTCAATTTGCTTTTGTGTTTTGATGGTCTCTTTCGGTGAGAATAAATGTTGGTGAAAAGTGGAAGATATTTGGATTATGCTCCAAAATAGCCAAAAAATAAAAAATCATATTTTCAATATTGATTTATTGAATAAGGATATATTTTAAAAATAGAACTTTTACATAAAATATAAATATACAATTTTCAATATAATAATTTTATATTATTTTTTTTATACGTATCTTTAGAGCATTTGTTGCGATTTTACATATCTATACTTGTAGATAAAAAAGATAAAAAATAAATAAATATATTGACCTATTTTTCTTTCAAAATTATAGTGTAATCACTAATCACTGTATATTATTTACTAGGAGAACAGAGGTTACAAAGACAATTGAAACTGATACAGTATAAATTCAACAATAACTATTTCATAATATAAAAAATAAGTGAGTGTTTTAATGATAGATAATTGATTCATGAGAGTTTCTTTCTATAACGGATACATGAGAGTTTCTATGAATAAAGTTATTGTTAATTAATATACATAAACACGCGTCTAAAACACAGAAAATATTATGTCATTTTCTCAAAATGTTATGTATTTCTTAATCTATTATTTTTATTAATTTTTCTTCCGTTCTGAATCTATTTTTTAATTAATTTTTTCTTGATTCCTATTTATTATTATATCGTAATATTATAATTTCATTTTCTTATACTGTTGATATTTGTTGCTAATCACTATTTTACATTTCCAATACATTGATACAATAAAATTGGGAAAAGATTTAGTAACTTTGAATAGATGTGACTTGGTGACTTGCAAATTTTAACATTTTTTTAGAATATAAAATAAAATAAAAAACAGAAATGAAGATGAGAGAGAGTGTTGGCGGATTACAGTAAAATTGAGTTTGAGTGATGAATTTGAAAAAGGTATTTTTATCGTCGGTGAAATCATGATTTATTGTATAAGTTAAAAAAGAATCAATTGTAAGGTATACTTATATTTATTAATTAAAAGAATATTTTTTATTTGTACCTTTTATACTTTATTGAAAGTGGACACAATATTTTATTATTTTTATTATGATTTTACTTTTTAAATTTTTTTTGTCATTTTTCATTATTAAAAAACAAGGGAGGAAAACAATCTATTTTTTGTTTTTTAATCTCGTGTCTGTTTGTTTGTTTTTTCAATACGTACACGCGTTAAAATATAAATTTATTTTTTTATTTAATTTTAATTATTTATATAATAAATTTTGTAATATACATTCTCATGTTAGTCTGTTCACTTTCTATAATTTTGAATGATTACTTTTATTATTATTAACTTAATCTTCGACCATTCTTCATTTCTATTCTTTAGTTTTACAATTTGCGACATACATGCACTCTCATGTTGAGTATGTTCGCTTTTTTAGGGTGCTAAGGTGTGTATGTTTTAATGAGTTTTTTTAATGTTCTATTAAAACTAATATTATGACATCATTATTAGAATTAAAAGTAAGATGATAAATCTACTATATCTACTTTTAATCTTGTGTCCGGTGTTGTTCATAAAAGAATTACATCACAACCTCTTATGTTAGCACAATAAAAAAAGTGGACAGTTTAATATGAGAATGCTCGTCTAAACGCTAGTAACTATAAAATAGTTAATAGATTTGTAAAATGACAATTACTTTTAATTATTATTTTTATTTCTTTTATAATTGATCTTTAAAATTTATTAAATATTACTTTTTTTTTTTTATAAAAGTGAAGAATGAGTAAGATATATGGATGAGGATGTGTAAACGGTTGATTTATTATTTATTTTAGATGGAAAATTGTCATATTTGCCCCGCAAAGTACCGCAATATAATGGGACGAGATGAAGTGAACATAGTAAAGGGTGTGCGTTTAAAATCTATGTTCACTTTGCAAAAATGAGGACGAGACGGGGCGGGTTAAAAGGGTCTTGTAGCCTCAAAGTCTACAAATTATAAAAATTCATGTTAATACTCACACTTGCAAAAGACCACAAAAAAGAAGATAGAAGCGGAGTGGACATATTAAAGAACGCACACCTAATTTTTTAGGTTGGCCTTCGAAAAATGCGGACAAAACAAATATGCACGCAGATGTTGATTATGTTTTGTCAACTCTAGTTTTATCAATGACAACAACATTTATTTGTATTTTTTATAATATATATGTAACAAATTGTTGATGGTTATAAATAAATAAATTTATAACAATAGATAAAGTGAATACATGATTTTGGTCTTGTCTATTTTTTTTCCTATTTTATCCTTTGCATTGTGTAAATATTTCAAAAATGCGTATTGTAATTGCATTACCACATCAAGGTATGTTTTTCGGAGGTGTTCCCAGATGATATTACAGAGTTACCTCTGAAGAGAGAAGTTGAGTTTAGTATTGATCTTGTTCCTGGTACGAGGCCTATTTCTATGGCGCCGTACAGGATGTCGGCAGTGGAGTGGAGTTGGCCGAGTTAAAATCTCAGATTGGAGAGTTGCTGGATAGAAAGTTTATCAGACCAAGTGTGTCGCCGTGGGGAGCTCTAGTGTTGTTAGTGAAGAAGAAGGACGGTAGCATGCGGTTGTGCATCGATTACCGTCAGTTGAACAAAGTGACCATCAAGAACAAGTATCCTCTTCCAAGGATTGATGATTTGATGGATCAGTTAGTGGGAGCTCGTGTGTTCAGTAAGATTGACTTGAGGTCGGGTTATCATCAGATCAGAGTGAAAGAAGGTGATATTCAGAAGACGGTGTTTAGGACTCGATATGGACATTACGAGTATGCGGTAATGCCTTTCGGAGTGTTTAATGCGTCGGGTGTGTTTATGGAATATATGAACTGTATCTTCCATTCTTATTTAGATCAGTTTATTGTCGTGTTCATTGATGATATACTGATTTATTCTAAGCCTGAGGAAGAGCATATGGAGCATTTGAGGATTGCTTTGCAAGTGTTGAAGGATAACAAGTTGTTTGCTAAGTTATCAAAGTGTGAGTTCTGGTTGAAGACTGTGAGTTTTCTGGGGCATGTTATTTCGGGTGATGGTGTTTCAGTAGACCCTTTGAAAGTTAGTGCGGTGTTACAGTGGGAACCACCGAAGACGGTAACAGAGGTTAGGAGCTTCTTGGGTTTAGCTGGTTATTACCGAAGATTTATTGAAGGCTTTTCCAGATTGGCTTTGTCGTTGACTCAGTTGACGAGGAAAGATCAAATGTTTGTGTGGGATGCTGCGTGCGAAGAAAGTTTTGTGGAGCTGAAAAAGAGATTGACTTCAGCGCCGGTGTTGGTGTTACCGAATCCGTGTGAGCCTTTTGTGGTGTATTGTGATGCGTCCAAGATGGGATTCGGCGGAGTTCTTATGCAGAATGGAAAAGTGGTAGCTTATGCTTCGCGACAATTGAGGGTGCATGAGCAGAATTATCCTACTCATGACCTTGAATTAGCTGCGGTGGTTTTTGTGTTGAAGATTTGGAGACACTATTAGTACGGTTCAAGGTTTGAAGTGTTCAGTGATCATAAAAGTTTGAATTACCTGTTTGATCAGAAAGAGTTGAATATGAGGTAGAGGAGATGGTTGGAATTTCTGAAAGATAATGATTTCAGTTTGAGTTATCACCCAGGAAAAACGAATGTTGTTGCAGATGCCTTGAGCAGGAAGACGATTCATATGTCGGCTTTGATGGTGAAAGAGATGGAGCTTATTGAGCAGTTTCGAGATTTGAGTATGGTTTGTGAGTTTACTACAGGTGGTGTAATGTTGGGTAAATTGCAAGTGAAGAATGATTTCTTGGATATGATAAGAGAACATCAGAAGTTAGATGTGAGACTTGTAGATTTGATGCAAGGAGCCGAAAGTGACTCCGGTAGTGATTTCAAGTTGGATGATGCGGGTGTGTTGAGGTTTCGGGGCAGAATTTGTGTGCCGGATAATGATGAGTTGAAGAGGTCAATTTTGGACGAAGGACACCGTAGTAGCCTGAGTGTTCATCTAGGAGCTATGAAGATGTACCATGATTTAAGGAAGTTGTTTTGGTGGTCCGATATGAAAAGAGACATAGCTCAGTTTGTTTATGCGTGTTTGACGTGTCAAAAGTCAAAGGTGGAACATCAGAGACCTCCTGGTTTGATGCAGCCGTTCGAAATTCCGGTTTGGAAATGGGATTTTATAACTATGGATTTCGTTACGGGTTTGCCGAGTACGGCGAGAGGATTTGATGCTATATGGGTGATTGTGGATCGACTTACGAATTCTGCACATTTTATGCCGATTAATATTAGTTTTTCGTTGACAAAGTTAGCAGAGATTTATAATCGGGTAATTGTGAAGCTACATGGTGTTCCGTCCAGTATTGTGTCGGATAGAGATCCGAGGTTTACTTCGAAATTTTGGAAGAGTTTGCAGGAAGCGTTGGGTACTAAGTTGAAGTTGAGTTCAACTTATCATCCACAAACTGATGGTCAGTCAAAAAGGACTATTCAGTCGCTCGAGGATTTATTGAGAGCATGCGTGTTGGAGAAAGGTGGTGTGTGGGACACTCATTTGCCATTGATTGAGTTCACGTACAACAACAATTACCATTCTAGTATCGGAATGGCACCATTTGAGGCTTTGTATGGGAGGAGGTGTAGGACTCCTCTGTGTTGGTATGAGACTGGTGAGAATGTGGTGTTGGGACCAGAAATTGTGCAACAGACTACTGAGACAATTCAGATGATCCGTGAGAAGATGAAAGCGTCTCAGAGTAGACAGAAGAGTTATCATGATAAGCGGAGAAAAGAATTGGAATTTAGTGAAGGTGATCATGTATTCTTAAGAGTTAACCCGGTGACCGGGGTGGGTCGTGCGTTGAAGTCCAAGAAGCTGGATCCTAAGTTTATTGGACCGTATCAGATTTTGCAGAGAATTGGTGATGTAGCTTATAGGGTGGCGTTGCCACCTGAGCTTTCGAATTTGCATGATGTGTTTCA